GACCCCCCCCCCCCCCCCCCCCCCCCAAAAGAAAAAAAAAATTTTTTTTTTCAACAAATCGCCGCCTATGGCCACGGTACACATGCTTCGAAACTTCACTGGTACCGTGTGAACATTTCCGCATTGTAAGTTCGCATATAGGTCATGGCATGACAATATGACGAAAGAAAATATCATTGAGTGGTCGTCATTAGGAGAACCTAAATTTATTTGCTGGCCGATCCAAGTCCTAAGACTACTACTGAAGAGCAGGCTCCTCGAGGAGGGAGGGCAAGACTACTGCCTCCACAGGGACATTGAACCCGAGAGCTCAATTTATTCTCAAGATATTCGTTTTTAGCTTGTTTATGAAAGAGAGAAAGCCCTCGTTTTGATGGTTATAAGGCCGGGGTTCCAATTTGCAATATCGCGTTATTATGGTAACCGTGCTAGCCAAGATGGCGACGATCGGGGAGAGCACGTGCGTTTGTTGTGGCTCGCACGAGGACGTGTTTCTCTTCCGCCTTCAGGAGTCTATAGATTTTCGAGGGAAAATCGCCCTTCTTCGCATGTTCGGGCTTCCATCCAATCTTCAGTCTCTCGAGCATCTCGTAAGTTCAGTCGCGGCGTCAAGCTGAAGTATCTTAGGCCTATGTTCGGACTGGGCGGATGATAATATGTTAGCCGTAAATATTTATTTTTAGGCGTATTGGAAGGCATTTCTGATTACTTTGACACCTGCAGTATGTCACCACTGAAAGTCAATATCTCCAGAAGCTAAATTTTCATAATCAGGAGGAGCCAAATATGATTTCCATATTATTTATTCCACAGGAGGCAGATGTGTGCTCCCATTGTGATGTGGATCTCAGAAGCATCATCTCATTTGTAAACATGTGCTGCACTACCTGGAAGAAACTTGGCTTCCAGACACCTAGAAACAGCATTGTAACAAGGTCTCTCAGGAAACTTCATATCCGTAGGAGTAGCACAGTGAGAGACAAGTTGGGCTATGGACAAAAACGACTGGCAAGATCCACTACACATGTTATTGAGGAAAATCTTGATCCTGACTTCAGTTTCCCTCAAGCATCATTAGAGGTGGCTTCTGGTGAGACCATGGAAGTGGCCTCACAACCATCTTTACCAGCAAAGGGTTCAAAAAAGTACACATGTGAGGAGTGCCATGAGAACTTTAGTAGTGGGAAAGCATTTGCATCTCATTGCTTGGAAGCACATGGAAGTGTGCGACCTTTTAAATGCCCATCTTGTGAGAAGAGGCAAGACCCTCATTGTTGTAAGAGTCATCCATGGGTGAAAAATGACCCTGTTTTAAATGTCCTCATCCTTGTGCAGATTCAAAGATGATCGAACAGCAAGGATTCATGCCCTGGTGCATGACGAGGCCCACAATTATTGTTGTGATATATGTGGTAAAGTTTTCCAACAACCAGCAGCACTTTCAAATCATAAACGGAGATGTCATTCTGACCAGCCTAGTAAGTAGACCCCTTATCCTCATCTTATTCATTTGCCCTGTTAATCATTCATCACATATCTCTTTCAAAGAATCGCAAAACTCGAAGAAGGAGCATTGTCGATGCTCTGATTGTGGCCGGATCTTGGCCAGCAAGTCTGAGTTGAATCGTCATATTCAGACAGTGCATGAAATGCGCAGAGACCATCTCTGTAGCAAATGTGGGAGGTCCTTCTCATCCAATACCTCTTTAACAGGTATGCCATCATGCATTTGAATAATTAATCCCAATTTTAATGTTTGTTCTTTAGTTACATGTTCTATCATTGCCTCTAAAGGCCTATTTTGGACTGGTGCAAGGGATCAAGATCATTCCTTTTTTTCTATTTTGTATGCAGACTTTTAAAGCCTAACATATTTTCCATGAGTATGTATGAATAGATAAAAGTGATTTTGTTTGATCTCAGGATTTTTGAATTTAAATTATTCATAAAGGCAGAATGCAATATGGCAAGCAATTGAAAGAAATGCCATCTTCTTCGCAGGAAACCTTACAGTTCTTTGGCAGCATGTTGATGTGGTAAGGTTGCACTTTAGCTAAAGCTGAGTTTCATCAATTATACTTTTAGATATTGGAATTCCATGCACTTGGATGATAGCATAATGAGAACTTCTGCAAGTACACTCTGCTAATGGAAGTGGACTGCATTAATAATCTCTTTTGTTTTGTCCTTTGTTATATTGCTATCTTTGTTGTCATATAATCAATAAATATACAAGGTGTGGCTATTGTGTTTCCAGACTGGTTTTATTGCTGAACTTTGAGAGAGAGGAGGGAAGTGGGGCTATGACAGTAACACGGAGGGGAGCCTTAGCTAATAACCGGGCAAGTTTTAATGTGGTCTGACCAGTGCGCTGTGTGCTGCGGCCCGTTAAGGTAGACCGTATTTGTGTGCGCTGGCAGATTTGAAATGGAGTGTAATCTCGAGCAGAGAACTAAGTCAAATTTTGTGTTAAACTGGGGAAATCCGCAACTGAAATGCTCAAAATGTAGTTTATGGTGATCATACCATGTCAAGAGTGCAAGTTTTTTTGTGGTGTAAAAGGTTTAAAGAGGGAAGAGAAGACGTCAATGACGACCTGTGTTATGGAGCGCCAATCACCAAACAAACACCTGAAAATGTCTCAAAAGTTACAGATTTGGTGCGTTCAGACAGATGGTTGACAATTAGAATGATAGCTGAAGAGTTGAATTTAGATAAAGAAACTGTTTGAGGGATTTTGAAGGATGATTTGAGCATGAGAAGGGTGACAGCGAAAATGGTGCCTTGGTTGCTGACAGCTGAATGAAAACAAAGGCGATTGGATGTTTGTTTGGTTCTCTCAGAAAGAGCTGGAGATTTGAAATATTTTAGAAAGAATCATCACTGGAGATGAGACATGGTGTTATCAATATGATCCGGAAACGAAACGTCAATCCCTTGAATGGAGAACTGCAAATTCACTGAGACAGAAAAAAGCCCGAATGTTGAAGTCAAAAATCAAGATGATGCTGATTTGTTTTTTTTTTTGTCAACAGAATTGTCCATTCAGAATTTGTGCCAGAAGGACAAATAGTCGACCAGATGTTGTACAAGAACGTTTTGAAGAGGTTGCATGAGGCTGTGAGGAGGAAAAGGGGCGATCTGTGGAAGGAGAACTCGTGGATCCTGCATCACGATAACGGACTGGCTCACACAGCCCTGTCTGTCTGAGAGTTTTTGGCTGCCAAATGGATCACCCACTGTATTCGCCTGATCATCACGATAATCCAGTGGCTTTTGGCTGTTTCCCAAATGCAAAAATTTTTTGAAAGGTCACCAATTTCAAAGCATTGAAGACATTCAAACAAATGTGATGCAGGCTCTGAAAGACATCCCGAAAGAAGACTTCCACCACTGTTTCCAGCAATTGCAGCATCGGTGGGATAAGTGTATAAGTTCTGTAGGGGAGTACTTTGAAGGCGATAAATGTAATTAATTTGTAAGTTTAAAAATAAATGTAAAAAAAGTAAAGTCTGGAAACTTAATAGCCACACATCGTAAGAGAAGCATTTTAAAAGTTTTTGGCCCAAGGCACCTCTGGTTGCAATGCACTGTTTTCCTCTCCATTGATTATGAAAGATGTATAAAAAGTTGCCTGAAAAAATTTGATTATGTTTAGTGATGGCCTGCAATTGTGTATTTTTGATTGTGCTGTTAAAGGGAGATTTTTTTAATGTTTAATTTGTGACAAGGGCAGAAATCTATTTTCTTACTTGAGAAGATTGATTGGATGGAATTTCTTTATTATCAGGGAGACAACTCAGCGCTGCACACTAACCCTCTCAGAGGTCTACTGCGAGACTACCCCCTCCATTATAAAAATTTACCACTGCCCCTGGCTTGATTATAAATGTTTTTAAAGTTCTTTTGACTGCAGTTAAAACAATTGTGAAAATTGTCAGTTATCAGTGAATATCATGGAACTTTCGTTATCAGTTTTCAAAATGTCTGTCACCAACTGTGAAAGTGCATGAACAGGGCACTGTAAGTGCCATCAGTCAAGTACTTATGGAACTCCCTTTGTATAGCCATACTCATATAGCCATACCCATATAGTGTGGGTCAAAGAAGGTAGATTCCTCCCTTTGTTGCTGAATTTCAAGAAAAATAATTACTTTTTAACTATGAAGTTTTAATTTGGTGTAGAAGCAAGGAACTGCTTCACCTTAAACTTGGGCAGTTCCTGAGTAATTGGGACAAAATAAATGCCAAACTATTTGCCAGAAAATACATGCAACTTCATTTTCTGTATGAAGTATGAATTTATTCATGCCCCATTAAATGATTTTCAATGTTTTTGTTCACTTTCAAGTGAAAGATGAACATAGCTACATCAAATGCCACTATATTTAATGAGGAAGAAGAGTCCAGGATGTGAAGGTGATGCCAATGAATGCCTGTAATCCTCTAGAGCACATGCGGAGACACACTGGAGATCATCCACTTGCATGTGGGAAATGTGGAAAGATGTTTGTGGCAAGACGTTACCTGACTCGACATATGCGCATCCACACCCGGGAGCAGCCATTTGCCTGCCCACAATGTGGGCGCAAGTTCAGTGATAAGTCCAACTACACTCGACACCTCATCTCTGTACATGGGAATGAGGGAAGGAAGAAGGGGAAGGTGAATAACATCACCATCATGACCAATCTTCCACCTCCGACTCAGGACTTCTTGACTGATCTTGCCCCTGGTATGCCCGATTCTAGCTTATTTCATTGAAATGAATTGATTTAGAAATAACTCTCAGACTTGTTAGGATTGGTTTTGATAAACCTTTTCCAAAGCACAGAATGTTAGAATGGCCATTTACTCTCCAACATATTTGTTTTTTTAATGAAAATTTTGAGACCAATGTGCTTACATTTTATCTTTTGAGTTGGACCTCATATGATTTGCTTAATTTTGGTCCATTTACCAGGAGCAGAATTATGTGAACACTGAAGCATGAGGATCAGATAAAGAGTTACTGAGCTCTAGTGTAATGCTTATTAATAAAATGAGAGAGCTGATAGATGAAAGAAGTAAATGCATTATAGTCTTTATTGACCTTTAGAAAACATTTGATACAGTTTCTCATGACATACTTCTAAAGAAACTCAACCACCATTGAGTCAGAGGAACTAGACTGGTTTCAAAGCTACTTAGATAATAGGTACCAGTATATTGAGTTTGATGAAATATGCAGATGACTCAAATGTTTTCTTCTATGGAAAAAATATTTTAGAGTCATCAATTAGAGTGGAAAGAGACCTAAACAATCTGAGTAGATGGATAAAGGCAAACCAGCTCACAATCAATATTAAAGATATTAACTTAATGGTGATACAAAGTAGGAAAAGAAGTAGAATAGGAGAATAGAATAGAAGTAGAATAGGAGAAAGTAGAATAAAGCATTTGGAGGTAATTTTAGACAAAAGCCCTTTTTTGGACAAACACATGCACCAAATCTGCACAAAATAGCTGTAAATAATAGGATGATGTATAAAGTACACCACTTAATTCCATGGTCACTCTTAAGAAACATCTTCACACTAATCCATCCCTACATAATTTATTGCACATCAATATTGGGTAATACATATCAAAAGTATTAGCAAGATATAGAAGTGCCTCAAAAAAGAAGCATTAGGATTATGAGCTTTGCAGGATATAGAGACCATGCTAAAGATCTCTTTCTATTCTGGAGAAGAAAATTAATTCAGTTTCATCTTTGTCAAATAATTAACCAAGAAAGTGTAATTCTTAATGTCAGAAACCTAAAGCTAACCAAGATTGCTGACTCCCACCCTTATGAAACTAGAGCATCTAAAGCAGGAAAGTTTCAGGCAACCAGAACATAGAAAAAATTTGCAGAACAAAACATCATACAAGAAGGACTAAGAATATTTAATGAACTGCCTGAGGATATAAGGGTTGCAAAATCAATCCCAATCTGTAAAGCAAAATTATTAAATTATTTTAATGAAAAGAATCTAATACAGGAACCAGCTCCTTCCATAATTGGCTCTTTAGGCTGACTGGATCTCCATGAAAAAAAAAATCAATTGATCAAATAATCAATATTTTTTTGCATCCCAAACCGGCCATCCAGGGCAATCCCAATTATGTTCAATGAATGGCCTTATTGCCCACTATTTGCATTTGCATTCTATTTCTGTTTCATTCTATTCTTTTCCCTAACCTTTTTTTTCTTGCATATTGTCTTTCATTTTTTTCATTGTCTTTGCCCTCATCTTTCGTCCTTACCAGCAAATTTGTGGAAATATATTCTAATTTCTAAAACTTTCACAAGGCTACAAATTGGATGTCTAATGTATTCAATACTAGAGATATAGATATAACTGCTAACTCATTTGATGTAATCTCCCTTCTTCTCACAGCATTTTTCCTATTGCTTTCTCACTTCTCACTCAAATCAATCCAACTTTGCTGGCCATTAATCTGCAAATCCTTTGCCACTGCTAATTTGATCTTCCTGATATGAAATCTGGTTCCATTGATTTGTTCTTTCATGGCAGGAAGAGGAGGAAGACATCACATGGACTCAGATCTAGACAATACAGAGGATGTCCAAGGATATTCCAGTTTCAAGGCTAAATCAGGTTGACTACCCTTTCCTTGTAGTGGGGTCCTTGGTTATCATGCAGAATTAATCAGAATTCCAGATGATTAGGCTTCTAGTTTAGAT